TTTTTTTGGATATGGGGGTCTCACTATGTTGCCCAGCCTGGTCTCAAATTCCTGGACTTAAAGGCTCTTCCTGCCTCCGCCTCCAAAGCACTAGGATTACAGGCATGAGCCACCATTCCTGGTCAGTTTCTGTGTTCTTGAAGTTCATCACCTATCCCCTTCTTGCGGTCCTTTTCAGATCACACAGGCCTCCTGCTGCTGCAAAGCCTTATTCCCAGGAATTTCCTGATAAGACTTTTCCAATCCTTGTGTGCATGTCAATAACCACCCCCGCACTGTTACGTCTCCCCAGAGAAGGTCAAAAGTTAGGCATATGGATGGGTCCCAGGGCTGAAGGGCTGCAGTGAACATCCTGGTACAGTGGAGTCTGAAGGTCTCTGACATGCAGAGCTGTTTTTATGTTGGAAGAGTCTCATCAGGAAGGAGTTGGAAGAGCTTTTCTCTCCCAGTCCTCAGGGGCCTGACCTCTCCCCAAGTCATAACATAGGATGACAAGTTCCATCAAATCAGTTAGTCCTTGCTTCTGGGAGGACCTTCCAAGAGAACTGTTCCCAGGTAAAATATTGCCAAGGAGGATGGTTAAGATACAAGATCCTTAGACCAGAAGGTGGGCAGAACACCTCATCCCAGCGGCGGAGAGTCCTCTGTGCAGTTTAGAGTGATTTATCTCATCACAAATTTCTTTCCTTTTTCTTTCCCTTCTGCAAGCACTTTGATTCAAACCTACTGAAAGAAGGCTGGGCATGGTGGCTCCTGCTTATAATCTCTGGACTTTGGGAGGCCAAGGCATGAGGATTGCTTGAGCCCAGGAGCTGGAGGCTGTCATGAGCTATGATCACACCACTGCATTCCAGGCTTGGCCACAGAGTGAATCACTGTCTCAAAAAAAAGAAAAAAAAAAAAAAGAAATCAAAATAGATATACCAAGTGAGAAGGTGGCACAGCACAGGGAAAGAAACCACATCCCCTCCTTGTAAGGCATAACTCTATGTGTGATGAGTGGTAAGCCGTGTGCAGCCATCTGGGCCTCAGTCTACCCATCCGCCAAATGGGACTATTTCTACCCATTCCACGTTTCTCAATCACAATCAGTCAAAACGCAAAGGCAATGCAGAAATCACTCAAAATACAAAAGGCAGTGCAGAAATGAAGATTTGGTTCCCCGCTCCCAGTCTTACTCATTTAGCCTTGCAACAAATGTTCAATAGAGCCTCATCTAGGGGTGGAGCCCCAAGGAACGTTCCCTAAGCTTGCCTTCCCTTTGCTAACCTCGTCCAAACAATTTTTCTTGCTTCCATGAGAGAAAATCCAACGCTTCATTTACCGAATTAACCTCGGATGTTAGAAACGATTTCTTCATAGCTACAGGGAGGTTGTCTGGGTTAAGTCAAAGTACTGTTCGGCAGGAGAGGCCAAAAGCCAATCTGTTGAAAAAGCAATGTGGATTTATCTGAAAAAGAGATTTATCCTTCAGAGAGCAGGGAGCCGAGCAAGAGGCTGGCAGAGGCTCACAGATCAATTCTCTTTTAACCTCTGAACTGTGTCTGTGTCACGGTGATCCGAGTTCGGAGGGGCCACAGCCTCTTCTAAGCAAAACAATAATCGTCTCCTATACAGTGAAACGGATGAAACGGGAGAGATACGTCAGCCAACACCGTCATGGCCAATTGCCTGTGTTCACAAGACGCCCAAGCCCCGTTTCCACACAGCTCCGCGTGCTGCATTGACTTACCCCTTCCAGTAAGATTTTTACTCAGACATGAAATAATTGTTCTTCTAACAACAAGTGACAACAGGGAAATGCCCGGTATTAATACTGACACCTTCTAATCTATCCTGATGCGGAGAGTGAGTGATTTCCCTAAATAACGAAACAAATTTTAGAGGTGCAATCCCTCCCCATTCCAGGGCCAAATTGAATCTGTGTTACAAATTAGTGTTCCTAGTGCTGGAGGAGTAATTCATGCTCACCTGCAAGCAGAAACTGTGTGCGCTTCCAGTGATATTTATCACACTAAGTGAAAGGAGGAAGGTCCTTGCAGAGGGAGAGATCTATTCTGGTTACACCAGTGCTCCTGAGAGCCTCCTCCTGCCGCCTTGCCATCTGGTTAGACTAGAAAATATCCGACCGACTTTCCCTTTTCTGAAAGCGCTGTACCAGCTGTAGGACTTTGGCGATCTCATTTGCAGCCTCATCCGGATTTGGCTATGCAATTCCACCTAAGCCAGGATATTTGAACTCGTGCTAAAAGCAGACCATTTCAAGATGGCTTACACATGCAAGGAGAGGGTTTCCCACACAGTCCTGGTTTCAGCATCCTAATTACCATGTGATCAGGACCGGGGCTGTCAGATCCAGGCAGGCATTGGAAGCTCGGGAGGATCGGTTAGCACAGCATCCTGGGCATCGCCTTCAGATTTCCTGATTCTGGGGGTCGGGTGTGGATCCCAAAATAGGCATTTGTGCTGAGTTCCCAGGGAATGTAGATGCTGCTGTCTGGGGACCATGCTATGAGAGCCACTGATAGAGATTATTATCTTCATTTTATATAGGAGGAGACTGAGGCATTTTTTCTTTTGAGACCGAGTCTCACTCTGTCACCCAGGCTGGAGTGTGGTGGTGCGATCTCGGCTCACTGCAACCTCCGCCTCCTGGGTTCAAGCGATTCTCCTGCCTCAGACCCCCAAGTAGCTGGGATTACAGGAACACCCCACCACACCTGGCTAATTTTTGTAGTTTTAGTAGCGACAGGGTTTCTCTATATTGGTCAGACTGTTCTCAAACTCCTGACCTCAGGCGATCCATCCACTTGGCCTCCCAAAGTGCTGGGATTGCAGGTGTGGGCCACCGTGCCCGGCCATAAAGCACATTATCTACCTTGGCTCCTCCTCCTCCTGTTTCTCCTCCCCCTCCTCCCCCTCCTACTCCCCTTCATCTTCCCCCCTTCTTTCTCTCTCCCCCTCCTCCTTCTTCTCTTTCCCCTTTTCTTTTCCCCCTTCTCCCCTTCTTTCTTCTCCTCCTCCTCCCCATTCTCAGAAACTCCTCTGAGATCACACAGCATGAGCCCTCCATCCTAAGCTTCTGAACTTGAACCCCTGTGACCTCCTAATTACGATGCTTCTCAAACACAGCATCTGGCTGTACCTCTGTGAGGGGCCTCAAATTATTCCTTGGCACTGCCTGAGCTCCTGTTTTCAGTCCAAAATCCATTCTTCTACATGGAGGAGACAGAAGTCAAACAGGGGTTACTGCGTCACCCATCCATCTTCATCATCCCATCAGGGCAGGCAGGGGTCCTGTGCGTATCTGACCCTTCCTCTGCTCCGACTAGCATCAGAAAACCCTTGCTTCATTTTTCTCAGCCTGTTTGGCAGCTCCAGATGTGTAGATTTTAGTTCTTCTGTTTTGGTTAGTTTTCCTTTTTTCTTTTTTTTTTAGAGACAGGGTCTCACTCTGTCATCTGGCTGAAGTGCCGTGGCATCTCTGCCCACTGCAACCTCTGCCTCCTAGGTTCAAGTGATTCTTTTATTTTTCTTTCTTTTTTTGAGATGGAGTTTTGCTCTGTTGCCCAGGTTGGAGTACAGTGGCATGATCTCACTTCACTGCAACCTCTGCCTCCCAGATTCGAGTGATTCTCCTGCCTCAGCCTCCTGAGTAGCTGAGACTACACAAATGGCTAACTTTTGTATTTTTAGTAGAGATGGGGTTTCACCATTTTGGCCATGCTAATCTCAAACTCCTGACCTCAGGTGATCCGCCCTCCTCCGTCTCCCAAAGTGCTAGGATTACTGATGTGAGTCACACGCCTGGCTTTTTTTTGTTTGTTTGTTTGTTTTTGAGATAGAGTCTCACTCTGTTGCCCAAGCTGGAGTGCAGTGGCATGATCTTGGCTCATTGCAACCTCCACCTCCTGGGTTCAAGCAATTCTCCTGTCTCTGCCTACCGAGTAGCTGGAATTACAGGCACACAACACCATGCCCAGCTAATTTTTGTATTTTTAGTAGAGACAGGGTCTCAGGATGTTGGCCAGGTTCGTCTCGAACTCCCGATCTCAGGTGATCCACCCGCCTCGGCCTCCCGAAGTGCTGGGATTACAGGTGTGAGCCACTGCTCCCAGATCTTTTTTCTTCTCTAAGAATTTTCTTCCCCTTTCCTCTTCAGAGACTCATAAAATGGTGCATTCAGTGCTGGGTCATCTTGCTAAGCTGCTCCCCCTCCTGGAATGATGCCATTTGCTCTTCTGAGCCTTTTGATACTGCAGAGGGCCAGCCAACACTATGGAGACCCCTCCTCACCTGCTTCCCACAAACTCTATGTTTCTTCATTCTCAGGACTCCAGTCACTTCCGCTTCACAAACCAAGTTGTCTCTGTTGGCTGCAGTCAAGCTCAGAGAAGTGGTTTTCTCTTTTTGCTTTCTCTCCTCTCTGGGAAATGATATTGGCAGATCAGTCAAAAGTATGTCAGAGACTTTGTTTTTGTTTTTTGTTTGTTTGTTTTGAGATGGAGTTTCACTCTTGTCACCCAGGGTGGAGTTCAGTGGCAGGGCCTTGGCACACTGCAGCCTCTGCCTCCGGGGTTCAAGTGATTCTCCTGCCTCAGCCTCCCGAGTAGCTGGGATTACAGGCACCTGTCACCATGCCGGGCTAATTTTTGTATTTTTTTTACATTTTTTTAAATTATACTTTAAGTTCTGGGGTACATGTGCAGATCGTGCAGGATTGTTACATAGGTATACGAATGCCACGGTGGTTTGCTGCACCCATCCCCCCGTCAACAATATGTATTTCTCCTAATGTTATCCCTCCCCAATCCCCCCACCCCCTGCTATCCCTCCTCAACCCCCACCCCCATCCGCAAACAGGCCCCCAGTGTGTGATGTTCCCCTCCCTGTGTCCATGTGTTCTCATTGTTCAACACCCACTTATTAGTGGGAACATTCAGTGTTTGGTTTTCTGTTCTTGTGCCAGTTTGCTGAGAATGATGGTTTCCAGTTTCATCCATGTCCCTGCAAAGGACATGAACTCATCCTTTTTTATGGCTGCATAGTATTCCATGGTGTATATGTGCCACATTTCCTTTATCCAGTCTATCATTGATGGGCATTTGGGTTGGTTCCAGGTCGTTGCTATTGTAAACAGTGCCGCAATGAACATATGTGTGCATGTGCCTTTATAACAGAAGAATTTAGAATCCTCTGGGTTTATACCCAGTAATGGGATTGCTGGGTCAAATGGAATTTCTGTTTCTAGGTCCTTGAGGAATCACCACACTGTCTTCCACAATGGTTGAATTAATTTACACACCCACCAACAATGTAAGAGTGTTCCTATTTCCCCACATCCTCTCCAGCATCTGTTGTCTCCAGAGTTTTTAATGATCGTCATTCTAACTGGCATGAGATGGTATCTCAATGTGGTTTTGATTTGCATTTCTCTAATGACCAGTGATGATGAGCATTTTTTCATATGTTTGTTGGCCGCATAAATGTCTTCTTTTGAAAAGTGTCTGTTCATATCCTTTGCCCACTTTTCGATTGGCTTTTTTTTTCTTGTATATTTGTTTCAGTTCTTTGTAGATTCTAGATATTAACTCTTTGTCAGATGGGTAGATTGCAAAAATTTTTTCCCATTCTGTTGGTTGCTGATTCACCCTAATGATTGTTTCTTTTGCTGTGCAGATGCTCTTAAGTTTAATTAGATCCCATTTGTCTATTTTGGCTTTGTTGTCAATGCTTTCGGTGTTTTAGTCATGAAGTCCTTGCCTATACCTATGTCCTGAATGGTATTGCCCAGGTTTTCTTCGTGGGTTTTTATGGTGTTAGGTCTTATGCTTAAAACTTTAATGCATCTGGAGTTCATTTTTGTATAAGGTGTAAGGAATGGGTCCAGTTTCAGCTTTCTACACATAGCTAGCCAGTTTCCCCAACATCATTTATTATATTTTTAGTAGAGATGGGGTTTCACCATGTTGGCCAGGCTGGTTTCAAACTCCTGACCTCAGGTGAGCTGCGCACCTTGGCCTCCAAAAGTGACAGGAGTATGGGCATGAGTCACTGCACCTGGCCAAATATGTCAGGGACTTTGGATTTCATCTGATGGAACTTCCCAGCTGATGTCAGCATGGAGTTTGAGTTTTGTTTCTGTCACTCCCACATTTTGATGCTGGGCGTGTTGAGTGCATCCTAACCCTCCATCCGCTTCCCCGCTTAGCCAGGGCTAAACAGCAAGGTCCTCTCTATTCTCCTCTCCCAAACGCCTTCCATATGGTTTTCCTGCACTTACCAAAGAGCACCAAAACAGAGAGAGGTCCCGTGGGCACACAGCGCTGCTCCAACTTGCCCCAGAATAGAGTTAACATCTTTGCATTCTCACGCATGCACGCATGCACACACACACACACACACACTCTCTCCACACACCACGATCCATGCGTCCCCCATCTAAGCAGCACGTACTGGGCTTCTATGTAAGATTTTATTAAAAGTAAAGATTTGTTTTTTTTTTTTTTTTTTTTTAGACGGAGTTTCGCTCTTGTTACCCAGGCTGGAGTGCAATGGCGCGATCTCGGCTCACTGCAACCTCCGCCTCCTGGGTTCAGGCAATTCTCCTGCCTCAGCCTCCTGAGTAGCTGGGATTACAGGCACGTGCCACCATGCCCAGCTAATTTTTGTATTTTTAGTAGAGACGGGGTTTTACCATGTTGACCAGGATAGTCTCGATCTCTTGACCTCGTGATCCACCTGCCTCGGCCTCCCAAAGTGCTGGGATTACAGGCGTGAGCCACCGCACCCGGCCAAAAGTAAAGATTTTGTATCACAGATGTAGAAAGTAGGGGACCAGAAATTGTGTACTCAAAACTACAGCCATAACCAGGGGTGCAACCAGGCGTATTCCGTTGCCCTCTCTCTTCTTGATACTTCCTCCTCCTCCTCTTCTTCCTCTTTCTTTTTCTCTTCCTACCCCTTCTCCTTCTCCTCCTCATCCTTCTGCTTCTCCTGCCTCATCTCCTTCTCCCTCCAACATCCTCTTCTTCTCCTCCTCTTCTTCCTCCTCCTCCTGACCTTTCCCTCTGTCTCCTTGTTCTTCTCCTTGCCCTTTCTCCTCCTCCCAGTCCTCCTCCTCCTCCTTCTCCTCCTCCTCCTCCTCCTTTTCCCTCCCCTCATCTTCCTCCTTTCCATCTTCCTCATCTTCTCCTCTTTCTTGCCATCCCCCTCCTTCTCCTCACCTTCATTCTCTCTTCCCCCTTCTCTTCCCCTCCTCCTCCTTTCTCTTCCCCTCCTCCTCTTCCTTATTATCATTTTTTATTCTCTTTTTGGGCATTCTTTCAGTATACCATGCACCTTAACAAACTGCTTTTTCATGAAACAGCTGTTATTATTTAGAAACGAGGCAGCTATACAAAAATCACTTGGTGAAATTTAAACTTTTTTTTTTTTTAAAGACAGTCTCATTCTATCACCCAGGCTGGAGTGAGTGCAGTGGCTTAATCTCGGCTCACTGCAGCCTCTGCCTCCTGAATTCAAGCAATCCTCCTGCTTCAGCCTCCTGAGTAGCTGGGGCTACAGGCACATGCCATCATGCCTGGCTAATTTTTGTGTTTTTAGTAGAGACGGGGTTTCACCGTGTTGGCCAGGCTGGTCTTGAACTCCTGGCCTCAGGTGATCTGCCAACCTCAGCCTCCCAAAGTGCTGGGATTACAGGCGTGAACCACTGCGCCCGGCCAGTTTAAACATGTTTAATTCTGTGAAATTCAATGTAATACGTATTCCCCTATAGTGCCCTGGGCTGTAGTGTTTTTCCCTGGTGAGTCTTGTCAGATGCCACCTTTTCCTGGATTTTTATGCTCCGTTCTTCCCTCCAAGCCTCTGTCTGTCTGCATAACAGAAGCTACTCCACAATGCTCAAGAGCAAATGCTGTTCTAGTATTTTATTTCCTAATGAAATTAAGCTTGAAGGACCCTTGGCAAGATTGCTTAGATACAGATATGAGATCTGAACAGGACTCTTTCCTTCTGAGATGGTTTGGCTGTGTCCCCACCTAAATCTCATCATGAATTATTGCCCCCATAATGAGAAGGACCTGGTGGGAGGTAATTGAGTCGTGGGGGGCGGGTCTTTCCCTTGCGGTTCTCGTGATAATAAGAGTCTCACAAGATCTGATGATTTTATAAAGAGGAGTTTCCCAGCACACCCTCTCTTGCCTGCCACCACGTACGACGTGTGCTCCTTGATCACCTTCCACCCTGACAATGAGGCCTCCCCAGCCATGTGGAACTGTGAGTCCATTTAAGCCTCTTTCCTTTATAAATTACCTAGCCTCAGGTACGTCTTTATTAGCAGCATGAGGACAGACTAATACGCCTTCCAAACAAGAGTCATGGGGGAGGAAGAGGTTCAAGTTATCCGTATGCTCTGGGAAGGACCTACCGTGCTGACCTTCATAGGTCCTTCTTGAAAGCTCCCATAAAGGAGTTTAGAATTCAGTCCCAAGAGCCCCTGTGCCCCCTTTGCCCATCTTGGGGTGTCACAGGGGAGCAAAACACAGGTTTACTCAAAGTGTGAAGCCACAACCTCCATACTCTCTGCCGTGTTCAGAAACCCCCCTGCTGCCAAGTTCAGGGGCCTCACTGTTTTGACTTTCTCTGTGACAATCCAGCCGTTTTCTTCTATAACCCTTGTTTCTCAAAAAATGGAAGCCAGCCAGGAACAGTGGCTCATGCCTGTAATCCCTGCACTTTGGAAGGCCGAGGTGAGAGGATCACTTGAGGCCAGGAGTTTGTAATCAGCCTGGGCAACATCACGAGACTTCGTCTCGACAAAGTTTATAAATAAAAAAAAGGATTAAAAAAAAAAATGGAAGCATCTTACCTCACCGCTGAGAGTTAAACCCTGGCCAACAAATTACAAAGCTCAGTGTGTCCTCTTAAAAAGGAGCTGGACACTGTGGCTCACGCGCCTATAATCCCAACACTTTGGGAGGCCAATGTGGGTGGATCACCTGAGGTCAGGAGTTTAAGACCAGCCTTTAACATGGTGAAACCCCATCTCTGCTAAAAAAAAGAAAAAAAAAGTTACAAAAATTAGCTGGGTGTGATGGTGCATGCCTGTAATCCCAGCTACTCAGTAGGTTGAAGCAGGAGAATTGCTTGAGCTGGGGAAGGCAGAGGCTGCAGTGAGCTGAGATGGCACCACTGTATGCCAGCCTAGGTGACAGAGCAAGACTCTGTGTCAAAAAAGAAAAAAAAAAAAGGAAAAGGAAAAAGGGGATAAAACTCTTGTTCCCACAAGGAAAGATAACAGCATTACCATCTCATTCCGTGTGCCAGGCTCCAGGGCTTCGGCCTGAGGCTCCCTGCCACCATCCTGCATCCCTGCCGGGAGAAAAGGAAATGGCCCCCTGTGCAGCGTAGCTGAGCCACAGCTGGGGGCACGAAGACCACATGCTGAGCTCTGGCACCCATGTCCTGCTGTAGTCGCCTTCTAGCGTCTACCTGGGGACAGCCTCTCTCTCCACTCCTCATCCAAGCAGCCGTCTGTGGGGCCAAGGGGAGGCTGAAGAGCTGTTCTCGTCTGCACCCCTGACCCAGAATTGTTGCCCCCTCCTGATCACATTCTTCCAGTGTTCTAGGCCTGCAGAGTCCAAGTCCAATTTCCTTCTTAGGCTTTTGCTACATGGATAATTATCAGTCTCTTATAGTGCACAAAGCTTCCTCAGTTTTTGCCCTTTATGATTGTTTTATAAGAAACAGGGTCTCATTCTTTCACCCAGGCTGGAGTGCAGTGGTGCCATCATAGCTCACTGTAGTCTCAAACTTCTGGGCTCAAGTGAACCTCCCCACTCAGCCTCCTGAGTAGCTAGGACTACGGGTGCACACCACCACACTCGGATAATTCATTTGATTTTTTTTGTAGAGATGGGATCTTGCTGTGTTGCCCTGGCTGCTCTCAAACTCCTGGTCTCACAGGATCCTCCTGCCTCAGCCTCCCAAAGTGCTGGGATTACAGACGTGAGCCACCATGCCCAGCCAGTGCTCAACCTTTTTTCCCCATTAGAACATCAGCTC